TCTTAAAATAGCAGAGTATAACTTTGGTATAAAAGTAGGACTTGACTTAAAAGCAAAGCAAAGAAAATGCCCAAAGCCAATAATAACTTTAACATCAAAAGAAGGCATACAAACATGAACAGAAATCCTTGTAAAGGAAGAGAAATTAACAAATTACCTGACAGTGAAGGCAAACAAAGTTTCTACAAAGTGGGGAGAGGTTAAAGAGCTCCCCATTTTCTGTACTCAGAGTTGATTTGCTGTGCCGTTTTTGCACCATATGTATTAAGTGAATGTTGAAGGAAAGGGAATTTTTCCCCTCCTCAGTAAAAGGCCAAAGAAAATAAGTTACTAATTGAGCCCACAATACCCTTGCAATAACAACACCGGTCCAGTGTCACACAGTGTGATAGCATCACTCATCTGAGCCTGGGCTGAGTGGAAGCGGGTGTGCCAAATCAACCATGGTCGTCCTGGAAGCAGTTAAAAGTTTATAAGGTAAAGCACAAACGAGAACAATGCCCATTCCAACTGAAACCACTGTGGAGCCTTGCTGCCATTCATTAACCACTAGGGAGCTGGCTGGGTCCCCTAAGTGAATTCTGACTTCGTACTCTCTGTGGCACATACATTCTTCCCTATCGCATTGCGTCAGAATGGACAGCAGGCAGGAGGTAACCGCTTTACTCAGAGGCAACGGTAGACTTCCCTGGTTCTACTTACTAAATAGCAGCTGTCAAGGGCCCGTTTAAAAATGAAAGTACTTATCACTCTGTGTAAATGACAAGATTAATAATGTCCTGCCTTTCTTGAGGTCTTTCCTCCATTTAAAGACCATGGGAGGGCAAGACAGGACTCAGATGACTGTGTTCCTTCCGTGGTGTAGAATACAAATACTTTTCACACGTATAAATTATCCCACAGAATATCCTCAGATCATTCTGATTACCAGGATACAAAGATGGACTTGGCTTTCATCTAAAAGGCCTACTTACCTGAGCTGAGCTTAAACTCTCTCATTATAATTAAGAGTTTTACTCTAAAGATGTTTTGGAGTAAGAACTCCCCTAAGAGCACAAAACTTCTGAATATATTCAATGAGGAAAACAAGCATTGCTTGAGGATTATAGACACCCTGTAGGTACTGGCCTTTGATTTGAGGTACAGAATACAGACAGGACAGCTTGATGGGGGTAAAGGGGGATGCAAAAGTAGGATGAGGCCGAGTCTAAAGAAATGTGCTACATCCTCCAACCACCCTGGTTTATAAAAGAAAGGAATCTCTACAACTTCAAAAGAAAGGTATAAAAATAACAAGAAATTTTAAAAGCCTCAGTAAATCATTTAGATGTTTGGACTATTTGACTTTAAATATGTGGCGGTGGCTGCTTCTCGAAATAAACGAAGCCTCGAAATAACTGATAAAGCTCATGTTTGGTCCCCTTGAGGATCTAGCTTGGGACAGCTTCCAGTATCCAGCTCTCTGCCTTTCCTCTCACCCGAAGCTACTGCTCAGAACCAGTTGCTGCTTCTGTAAGCCACCCAAGCTATCTAATGCATCTACCTACTGTCTGCTGCCAGGAATGAATATTCCCAGCTCCCTGCTGAGTGTCAGCAGTACAGCTACATACTATAGAACACAAACTTTAAGGAATGTAGGGAAAGTAATCAAGACACCAAGGATCATGAAGTTTGGGTGTTTGGATGGTTGCACTACTCGATGACTTGCCTGTGATTGGGGTCTCAGTCCTCGTGTCTTTGGCATGGCCTTCCTTTATAAAGATAAATTACTACCGTTAACTCAGTACTTTCAGTCGGGGAATACAACATCATTCAGACTTGAAGCTACTAAGAAATTATGTCTCAGCAGCAATGCCAGCACACCCAGAATATCTGCTCCCCACAACATCACAGCAATAATTTTGAGAACATGAAATGAGAAGAGACATCTAAAGTCGTAAGACCTGCCTCTTTCTGGGCAATTGTGAAAGAAAGAAAGCTCATTTTCAAAGCCCATTCTGAAATATCTGAAATAAAGAAATACACACGTGCAAATGCTCACATGCACACACATACACACGCACACACACGAGCACACACACATGCATGTGAATCTGCTAAAAAGTTTAAACCAAGGGAGATCACCTGGGATAAAGTGCTTATGGAAAAGTAGGAGGGGAAATGATTCATTGTGTGGTCCCTGTTTCTCTATTTTACGACATAATTCAGGTTACATTTATTATTAGTATTACTTAAAAAACAAAATCCACCAATCAAACAAGACCAGCATGGGTTTTATCCAGGGTCCATGTTCTGACAGCCGCCTCCTACCAAAACTCAGAATCTTAGCATGCATATTTATTTCCTTTTGTAGATCTTATCCTTCCACCTTGTTATGCAGCTGATTTAAATTCATTAAATTTTAACTTCAGCATTAGAAATTTTTTGAATAAACACTATGATGAACACACTCGTCATTTGTTCAGGGTCATCATTGTCTTCTTTATTTGCTAACCTAAACATCACCACAGCTGAAAAATTTACCCGAAATTCTTTCTTTTCAGAGCCTACAATATTTGCCTAATATGCCACCCAAAGTCTTTTAATAACTTAATGTTCTTCTAAGAATCAGAGCAAAGAAGAGCATTTTTACGATTTATTCTAGAATACTACAGGCTGGTACTGGACAGGTAAGCTGGTGTCACTAATTTAATAATTACCCCTCATACAGGGTTTCTCTCAGTGTCTAGAGAGTAAATGGAATCTCCAAAGATGGGATGTGTGTGTTTAGAATGAGATGGGCTGTACCTAGTCACCATTTGACAGATCCTCCCACAGAAAAGAGGATGCAAAAGCACATCTGGAGGGTCTCTGCTGTCAGCTCTGTATCTTTGCACCTGGCCCGGCATTTACATTTCAAAGCTGTGCAGAGATGCCCAGCTAAATGGTCTTTCTGCAACTGCAGAAGAGTAACAGATGAGTGTGTGTATAATATACAGATACGTGCTATTAAGGTGCTGTCTTCTTGGGTTCTGTTAACTGTGCCAAGTATAATGCTGTAGTCTACAAAGACACCTATCACAGCCGTCTTCTATCTTTGACTGCTCTCTTAAGTGTATAGATGAATCTACTTGACCATGCAATATCAGTTTCACGATTAAGTTATTTGCTATGTGCTCATTGTACGACCATCCTAATTTTGGGTAGTGTAATATAGAAGTTAGGGATGACTGCTTAAGGAAACAGTAAGTACATATCTAACAATGGTGTTCTGTGTCTTCCTCAATTGTTCCTCTGTTTCTTTGGTTGAAGCATTAGATATTACTAAAATGAGGAACATGTTTTCTCTAGAAACAATGCCTTTAAAATGTGTACTTTCAAACTAATTGGAAAAATTACAAACGCTAACTACAATGAGCAGCCTGATTCACACAATTAGAAACCACAGGGCTTTCCCTTCAAATGCAACCAAGTTTTGCAAGAAGAGATGACTTATCATAAAACATCAGAAATAAAAATTAAATTCAAAGTTGGCCACAAGTGGCCTTGAATTAGCTACAAGTAGAATTCTTGAATCACCTTTCGATAGTTTTAGAAAAATGCTGATATCCATCAGCTGTCAGGAAATATGAACAGCAAGTAATCATTAAGATATGTTTATATTATTTCACTTTAAAGGGATCTTGTGAGGTCCCATCGTTTCCGTTTTAGGAAGCACAGCACAGTTTACCCCTTATTAGACCTACCCATTTCCCAATCTGTAAACAGGAGATGCTCAAAAAGTTCTATCTGCTGCTGGAGACAATAACTTCTAGGACAGAATTGGAATATGCTGTTCTCAAAATCAATAGCTAATTTAATAATATTTTCATTTGTCAATAACACTTCGGTTTTTTTAACAGCAAAGGGAAAACCCAATTGATTAGTTTATTATTTTTGATTATGCTGTAGATTTAAATGATTCCCATGTAAACATAATTTTACAACTTACTACCTTATGTTTAGTTTAGCCAGAAAAAAAATGTTCTGGGAGCTGGTGAAAAGCCAAGGAATAATCTCCTAATGATGGCTGGGAGTCTTGGGCTGATGGCGCTGGCTTTATTTAACTGCTCTCAATTGCAGCCATCTAATTTAAACTTTTCATTTTCTTGGTGTAGTAGATCTGCCAAGCAACCATTTCAACATGGTCTTGGAAGCACATTTAAGTCACCATGGCGTTAAAGGAAATATATGACTGTGATACAATTAAATTTTAACCCAGTGATATTTGTAATAAAAAAAGTCAACAGGATAAACCTCTCATTCTTGAGGCACTTCAGATAAATCTACAAGAGTCATAATTTTATTAAGTGCAAAATTAGTTTCAGGATAATATTGTGACCTTTATTTCATGGTTACTTTTCTTTAAGTCGGTCTCACTTCTTGCTCTTCCATAAAATCACAAAATAATCTAACTTTAAATTTTTGCTTTACATAAAAGACAAGTAGTTTGATTATTTGAAGAGCAAAAATTCTCATTTTTATCTTGATTTAGGTAATTCAACACAATTATGCACTTTACAATGTATAATCAGGCAAGTTTGCACCAATGACATGCATACGTATCTAACCACTATTTCAAATAAAACTATCACATTTCAAATATATCATTTGCAAATTCTGAATAAATTTCAAATTTAGCTCTACACCTTCTATGAATGTACATATTAGGAGGATAAAGAGAAAATGAAACAGTAGTGTCAGTTACTTAGTTCCTAAGTCACTCAGTAACACTACAATAGCTGCAGCATTGGTATCGATGGTAAGACAACATGAACAGAGCACCCAAAGAAAACAGCAGTGGGAAAAGGTAGTACTAAAAATGCCTTAGTTCTGTATCTTGTGTCTCTGTGTTAGCTTCTGCCAAATCAACACAACCAGGCCACAGGAGTCTACTGCAGCTCACTGTGATATTTTTATTCTTCAGGCTTCACTGATACCTTTGTGTTCTTAAAAAAGACAAGAAAATCTTTAAAACATACCTGGTCATTTATCTGGCATGCAACAAGGTTGTGCTGATCATAACTGCCAGCAAATCTGATGTACTTGAGCCAGCTTCCTACATCTGGTTGACTGGCATCTATGCAGAACTTCACATTGCAAAACTCATCTAAGATCTGGAAGGAAGAAGATGAGAACAATAAATTGCCATTTCGGCCCATTGCTGAAAGTCGTCAGTTCCTTGAAAATATACCATTGAGATGCGTATTCTCCCTTTGAATCTTAACAAGAAAAAGGTCAGATAGCACATATATTCTTAAAGGAAGCGTGAGCTATATTGCTTTTACAAAAGGTGTGAAGCAATTTTAACTTATCACAGAAACTGGTTAATTGCTTTCAAAACAAGCTTGCTTCTTCTTCATCCATGAATAATCTTAATGACTTCATTTTATCTATTGTGTTTTCCCAGAAAAGTCATATAGAATGGCATGTGCAACATAATATTGCTAAACTAAATATTCAATATTTGGGTTTGGGTGATTCAGCTGTCAATATTGTTATTCTGCATAGCCTCCTCATCTGGGTGGGCACTTTTACATTATTTTATTTTAATTCGATTAAAAATTTTCATCTAAGCATTATTAAATTTCTTTTACTAGTTTGCATTTTCTCACCATAAAATTATGTTTGTAGCTCGAAGTTAATGAATTGTCTCATAGATGCTTCTGAGCAAACTAAAGACAAGCAAAAGAAAATTATACACACACATACACAAATATGACAGCTTAAGGTTTAGCTAACCCATATCAATACATGTTTACATACTATGCCCAGTAAACAAAATAACAAAGTGGTCTGCAGGTAAGCATAGACCTAACAAGTCTCACATGTTGCCAGCATTACCTTATGGCACTGCTTCATCATTTTCTGAAGATATGTGTTTGGCCTCTACTAAATGTTAATGTCACTCAGGACACTTGCAAAATCTAAGTTGAAATGGGAAGCTTTTAATTTTAAGGTTTCATATCCTCAGATCAAGCCTTTTCTGAGTCATTAACCTCAATAACTTGCTAAGCATCAATATTAAAAGCTATGGAGTCACTGACCTCATGGTGGAGAACTAGGGGCTGGCAATGCTATGTCAATCAGCTAATGCAAATGGTGAGGACAGTTTCTGCTCCAGACTAAACAACACACTCTAGGACGAGAATTCATGAATTAAATAACCCCTGAACTCTGCTCCTGCTATACCTGCCTGGAAATTAACGTTAAACCCTTCACTATATGGACCAAGAGCAGCTTTGCATAGGACTTCGATAATCACCCACTTGCAGATTTAAGTCATTAACTCACCATAAACTTCAAGAACTCGGTTCTGAGCACCCCAGTCTAAAGCACTATGAATAAGCCCTTGACCATGGGGCCATTGAAGGGCAGTAAGTCGCCCCAGGATTTAAAAAAGAAAACTGGTAACCTAAGAGAAAGACAATAATTGCTCCCTCCCCTTCCCTCCACCTCTCCACTCTAACAGAGAGTTAAATACCCTTTCTAAGGAGGACAAATTTCAACAAATACGCTATTTATAAAATTACAAACTTTAAGACATTTCAGCTCTCAAGACTGAACAACTCAAAGGGCACTGAGATTTCTCCCTTCCCAGACATAGAAAAGGTAAATAATTAGCACAATTCTTAAAATTTGATTTTCTTTTTTAAGTGGGATTGCATTTGGTCTGCTACTTTATTCTGATTTGGGGTGTGTTGTTTGTTTTGTTGACTAAGAAGAAAAGGGGTGGGGAGGCATGCCAACTGACACCCAGAGAAATATTTAATAAAGGAAATCGGGGGAGCCACTGAAGTGCTACACTGCTCCCATTTCATCCTGCAGAAAGACGTGGAAAACTTGTTAATTTTAAAGCCAAGAAGCATCTATTCCCTCCGCTTTCCAAGCAAGGTAAGGAACTGAAGATTACATGCTGTACACAAAAAAAATTATGGGTGTAATTTTATTCCGTGTTAGCATCCCTGACACAGCCTCTGTCAACAGCGAGGCTAATTTTTAAAAACACATTCTCAAAGAATGTGGTTTTTTAAATATGTTACACGATTATTCGAAGGTTTCCCCAACATACTGAGGTCCTTACTCTCAGTATTCCTGTCCCAAGGCCGCCTGTCTTCACCCCTGGCGAGTTATTCACTTTTGATTTGCTACCAGAACTTCATTTGAGCCCCAAAGCCTCAATCTCCTCCGAAATCTGAATACAATAAACAACGCATCTTCACGTCCCATCTAACACAGTCCTGTGTTTTCAAAAGCTGTTAAGCTTCGAAAATAATAATAATAATAATAATAATAGTTCCTTTAGGTGGACTTGAGAGAAAGGCCCTTTCAAAAAAAAAAAAAAAATACCCAACGAAAAGGGGGAAAAAAATCCCAGCCTGCAGCCAAAGGGACCGAATGTGACTTTCTTGAAGCAGCACACACGCTGTTGGCCAGCGAAGTTGTTACTTGGCAAGGTGGGACTCCGCCGAAAGCCACTTCCAAAGTCGCTTGGCTGGTGCCAGGAATTCTGATTTTTGGCAACCCCACCTTCTGCGTTCCCGAACCTGACCGACAGACCGTGGGAGGGAGGGGAAGGAGGATGCGAGAGCCGAGAAGGCGGCAGCCAGCCGGGCAGACCCACCCGAGGCGGCGGAGCCCGGGCGACCGGCGACGCTCCGGGGACACGGGGAGCTCAGCGCAGACCCGGGACGCAGACGCCGTCCCCAGCGACACCCTGCCCACAGCCAAGACTTTTTAAAGTGAGTTCGCTTACCTTCCGATTTCTACGGCCTCAACTCAGCAATCAAAAGCAATCACAGCAGAATTAAGGAAAATAAAATCAGCAGCACCCGGCACTCGTGTAGGAAAGTCTTTTCAAAGAACACCCGGTAACATTTCGAGACATTAAAAAATAAAATAAAATAAAAAATAAAAACCTCGTGTCTCGACTTCCAAATGGGTGTCTGCTAAGTTTGTCGTTCCCTGGGAGCTGTTCGCCGCCGGGACCACGCGTTTCGGGTTTATTGTCCGCCAACAGTGTTTTAAGATCAGAAATGACCCGGGTTTGGTGTATTTGGGATTTTCCCCCTTCCTAAATGAGCTCGCAGCTATTCCTTCTCTTCTCACCACCTCCCTCTTTCCTCACTTTCTCTTGCTCTTATCAGCCCGATGTGTAATGAAAGTTATCTGAAACCTACTAAAACTTCTTCCACTCCTCTCTCCCAGCTCCAGGGGCAAGACCCGCAGGAGAGCTTGCGAAGGTGGGGGGCCTGCCAGGCCAGGACGGCCCCCAGATCCTCCCAGAGCCTCCTCGGGTCCAGACCCTCACTCGCTCGTCCCCTTTAGCCACTCCGCGCCCAGCCGCAGGGTTTCTATTTCATGAACTGTCTCTTTAAAGGGGATCTGCTCGGCCATCCAGAAAGAAACCGGGGCGAGGGAGAAAGGGAGCTATCTCCAGAGTGGTCGGAAGCCAGAGACGGGCTCCTCTTTCAGTAAATTTTTAAAGTGACAGCAGCCTCCTCTGGCGGGAGAGGTCACAAAAAGGTCGCCAAGACCCAAGTCCTATAGGGACAGACTGATTATGGATGCACCATCCCCTGGAACATGTAGATTTCTGCGGATAAACAACCAATGGGGAGATTTCTCCAGGCAGGATTTGTTTCCCCAGGGAAATCTCTTTGGTTTTGATGTCCTGAGCACAAGTGTGACTCTGTGTGTGTGTGTGTGTGTGTGTGTGTGTGTGTGTGTGTGTGTGTGTGTGTGTG